TTTATATTAAAAATATTTTATAAATTTAATATAAAATATATATTAAATTGAAAGTTCCGTATGGCATTTCTCATCCTCTAAGAAGCTTTGAGGTATTTTCAGAATTTATATCCATTTTGGTCAGCTCATTTGCCTTTCCATTCCCAGCCAGTTGTTTCAAATGATTTTTTTTTTTTTTAACACAAAATCATCAATTTTTCACTATTGCAAGGCATAGCTGAGAAATTACTGGGCCATAGGGACCATTCCCTCTCAGAGAGCCTAGTTAGCTTGTGACACTGATCATCAAGGTACGTGCATTGCAGGGAAAGAATAGGAACAGGGCAGGATTAGGAGGGTCTTGCACTATATTATTATGGCTGAGAAGCTGAATTTTGATGTATGTTGAACCATCTTGTAGCACTGGAATTCACTTTCTCTGTCTCTTAACTGTAAAATAATTGCTGTCTTTTTATTGTCAGAGACAAGCATTCACTGATGTGGCTACTGGATCCCTTGGTCAGGGTCTTGGTGCTGCATGTGGAATGGCATACACTGGGAAATTCTTTGACAGAGCCAGGTAATTCCATCTTCGTATTTCATGACTGTAGCATTCAGTGGGAACATTTTGTGAAAAGAAACTGTATTCTTATCTCAGTCAGGGAAAAAAACCCTCATCCTTATTTTCTGTTCCCAAGAATAATTTCAAAATCAGGTTAGAAATGATAAAGAGTACTAGCCTGAGCATTACAGAGCCATTGCCAGTGAAACTACCCAGGATTTTATGATCAGCAAGAATTAGTGCTACGTGTGTTCCTTTTGTAACCAGGCAGCATTGCAAGGTGATGTTCCTGAAGAGAGCAGGCAGTAAATTGATGGAGCAGCCTCTGTCTTCCATAGGGTAATTGTTTGCCATTGTGAGATCTGTAGGTGTCCCCTTAGAAGGAAGATGCAAACAAGAGATGCATCTCTTCAAGGTCACATGGCAAACAATGGAGAACAAGCTATGGATGGTCCATAACAGCACCACTGAATCATAAAGCAGGGCTTCGCAGTGTTACCAGAAAGGCATTCGACTCCATGGAGGCAAAGACGACTGCTTCTGCCATTTGCTTTGTGCACAAGAAAAGTAGATGTCTAAAGGCAAATCTGTGTGAGGAGGAAAATAGCCTGATGTAGTTGATGTATTTTATGTGACAGTTCTGGTACATTTGAGCATAGGCTGCCCAGTTAATGTGTCCTACACTTCACTAGCTTGAAATCATTTCTGTGAAAGATGACTTGCTGATTTTAATTGAGTTTAGCAGATGCTACGTGTGGAAAAAATCTAACCAGTGCTTACATGACAGAAGAGAAAGGTGGTCTTGCAGGCAGTGCTGGGGAACAGCTTATGTTATAGCTCAATGTCTAGTAAAAATAAAGTTGCTAACACCCATCTTGATTATTTTGTTCTAAAATTATATAGTTGAAGGCTAATTTACTATTATTTTAAAATTTTATTAGGTAGTAAAATTTTACAAAGCTTTGTCATCCCAAAAAAGAGAGCGGTAATAAAAGAAGACTACAGTGGCTGTATTGTGCAGAGGTGAGGCAGTACTCCTGCTAACTGAGTTTTACCTGAACAAAAAGCTTCAATATTTGGAGAAATAGTCTGCAGAGTCATATCGTGCTTATTATCTTTTTCTGGAATTCGGTTATAAAACATGTTCTAGTCTCTAGTTGAGTTCATTCCCATATTTTCCAGAAATGAAATTATTGGTCATTCTGCCAGAGAGTATATGGTAGGAATGAGGAAGCAGACAGTAACCTTTCAGGCATTGTTAGTGATCCTGCTGAGTCACAGTGACAGTGTTTAATGGGCCGCTTCATTCAGGCCTTGCAATAGGAGACTTAAGACCTGATTTTTCTGGAGAGAGGTTTGTACAAGGAGTATAGTGTTTCTCATCTTATTTTTTTTCATATGTCACAGCTCAAAAGCATTTCAGTGTAATTTGTCTAAGGTTATGTAAGGTTGTCTGAGGTGAATGCATTGAGCAGTGTGAGTTTGGCATAGAAAAAGCAGTAAATTCCCACTATGAATTGTTAGAGGGGTTTTGCTTTTGATATAATTGTGCCTACACATCAGACTTTTTTAAATTTCTTCTAGCTATCGAGTGTATTGTCTGCTTGGAGATGGAGAGTTATCCGAAGGCTCTGTTTGGGAGGCAATGGCCTTTGCTGGGTTTTACAAGCTTGATAATCTCGTTGCTATATTTGATGTTAACCGCCTTGGACAGAGTGACCCTGCACCTCTGCAGCATCACGTGGAGGTTTACCAGAAACGCTGCGAAGCCTTTGGGTATGTGAGGGGAGGAGGCTCAGTGTAATCTCCCCTTTGGAACTATGTTTTATTCGCTTTTCAGAATGCTTCAAATGAGTTTTCAGCTCTAAAGGATACCATCGTCAAGAAAGATGGTCTTTCATAATGCCTGATATTGGTCATCTG